GCATGGTGCCAGTCGCCTAGCTTTACCTAGGCTCCGCGTACGCGTTTTTCTGCCGCTCGCGAAGCTCGGGCCGCTTCGGGCTCCGCGGTGGCGGTTGTCGAGCCCTCAGCGAAGACTTTAGGGTTTAGGGTAAGGGGTACATAGGGGTTAGAAAGGGGTCCCTTCTAGGGGTCCCTCCTATTGTCCCTTCACTTTACACCCGCAGCCAAAATCGCCAGTCCCCGTACATATGGCATGTCCCGACAGAATGCCTTTATTAATTATGTGTATATATCTATACATACATAAGCATCGAGATATATCTACTTTATATGTATATATATATATATATACACACGCATATTTCTATTTTTGTGGAGGGGGTGAATAATTGTCAACAGCATTCTGTGATAGACCCCGTAAATGCAGACTACAGTATACCCCAAGCCTATTCTACTTGTTACGGCCCCAGAACATAACAGACGCCAACCACCAAATAGTGGGACCTTTCGGGACCCGCGGATAAGAAGACCCCACACACACCACTACCCCGAAACCCGACATACTCCCTCCGAAACCCCAAAACTCTAAACAAGCTAAGAGGGAGCCCTAAACCCTAAACCCCTGAACCCCTAAAACCCTGAACCCTAAACCCTAAACCCCCAAACCCTAAACCCCTAAACCCCTGAACCCTAAACCCTAAATCCCAAAGCCCTGAACCCTAAACCCTGAACAAAGAGGGCCCCCTAAACCCTAAACAAGAACCCCCCGAACGCAAGAAACCTCAGACTTCGCACATGCCAGCTGAGCCGTTGGGGCGCGAACCGGATCCGTAAGCCTGTGTGCAGGCCCCCGGCATGTGGATTTTGACGGTTTAGGGGCTTCGAGTTTAGGGTTCAGGGGTTTAGGGTTTAGGGTTCAGGGCTCAGGGGTTTAGGCTTCAGGGGTTTGGGGGTTTAGGGTTTTGGGGTTCAGGGGTTTAGGGGCTTAGGGCTTAGGGTTCAGGGGTTTAGGGGTTTAGGTTTTTTTTGGTTTTGGGTCTTTGGGCTTTCGGAAGCTGGGCTCCGAGAATATGGTCTTGAAAAACCAGAAGTGAAGCCGTATGTACCTTAACCTACCAAAACCCACTTTTTTGTAGGTTCTTATTATGAACCCTAATACAGTATGGGATTTACAGGGACCCTACAAAAAAGTAGGTTCTGGTAGGTTAAGGTATTCGTTTTAGGTTACGTATTGTGGGCACTGCCCCGTGTGTTTTGCTCCATGTCGGCTATGAATAGTTGGCTATGTTGTGCTTTGCGTTTCTGCCTTGGCACTCATCGCAGGTTGAGAGCTTGGCAACTTTGGCTCTGGGGTCTGTAAATTAGGGTTTAAGTTTACCTTAAGAACCCAAAACCTACTTTTTTGTAGGGTCCCTATAAATCCCATATTAGGGTTTATAAAGTGGGTTTTGGGTTCTTAAGGTAGGGGTAAATTAGGGGCTCAGGGTCTGGATAGCCTTCGGCAAAGTCGCAGGGCAGGCAACGGTTGGGAGTTTGGAGAATTGGGGTGTGTCTGCGGGCAGCTCCCTCTTGACTGATACTATGCTAAGCCCCAAAACCCAAAACCCTAAACCGGATCTAAACCCTAAGCCCTAAACCACCCGAACAAGAAAAACAAACTCTAAACCAATAAACCACAACACTCCATGACAACCGACATCTAAATCTAAGACAGTAAGCTGAATAGCCCCGAAAGATCCCTAAAGTTTCAAGTCCCTAAACGCCTAAGCCTTAAACCCTAAACCCTAAACCCTAAACCCTGAACAAACACACAACCACCGAGCCCGTGTGCCATCTTCGCAGCTGGTGAGAGAGCGCGCGGAGGCTCGGGCGCTGCACCTGCGACGAAGGTGCCAGACTTCCCAAAATCACTGAATTAAGGAATATACCTGTAATTAAGAAGTATACCTACCTTAAGACAAAATCGGTAAGAATTAACGTGTATTCCTTCATCTATGCGGCCTATAAGGGATTTTGGAAGGTCCGGTGTGCTCATAGAGCGCACGTACCGGGGGCTTCCCTTGGTTTGGGGATCGACGATTCTTTACTTCGTTCTCATACACAAAGAAGCAACATAATCATACCCATAGATACAGATGGAAAGATAGACAGATAGAAAAATAGCGATGGATAGACAGGCAGACGGATAGTAAAATAGATAGAATATAGCTAGATAGGTAGGAGAGAGAGAGAGAGAGAGAGAGAGAGAGTGGGGGAGAGAGAGAGAGAGAGGTAGGTAGGTAGGCAGGCAGGCAGGCAGGTAGGTAGGTAGGTAGGTAGGTAGGTAGCTAGGTATAGGAAGCTAGGTAAGTAGGTGGGTAGGTGGGTAGG